TCCCAACAGTGAGTTGAACACAAAAGAAACAGTCTAGAACAGAGGTCTTCAACAGGGGGTCCGCGACCCCTAGGGGGTTCGCAGAGGTATTGCATCGGGGTCGCGAAAGTCTTGAGGTTGATTACTTTTTTTTTTATATTCCCTCCTGCAATTTTTTGCACTAATTAAAATGTCTTTAAATACACATTGACATGAATTCAACACACTGTAGTAAACAGATAAATGAAAGCAGAAGATGTCTTTCAGTCATCAATGCACACATTCAGCGACACATAGGAGCTCTTTCAAACCTGGACACCGTTTCATTCACAACACCTGTCCCATCAACCAGGAATCAGAATCAGGAATACTTAAATAGTCCCAGGGAGAAATTACTTTCGTTACATGACTCCATATGTAATAGAGTGACTATAGGACCAGTTTGATAGAACACTATTTCATACAATATATACAATTAGGGGGTCCCCGCTCCTTCTCGCAATTAGTTTGGGGGTCCTTGGCTTCGAAAACCTTGAAGACCCCTGGTCTAGAAACAAGAGGTTAAAAAAAAAAAAAGAAAGAGGAAATGAGGATATGAGATTATGCAGTAAGTCCAAATTTTGCAACATAAAAGAAAATCACTTTACTGCTATTAGATGTTAAGAATAGATTAATCGAGGAAAAAAAAAACTAAAAAAACAACAAAGATATGTGCAACTGAGAAGGATTAAATAAGAAATATGTGAGCACCAACTATTTACGAGAAAAAAAAAGAATGGGTAAAATTATTAGATACATAAAACACATAAAGTTTGATGAGAGCGGTGATGGTTATAAAGTCCAACAGCTGTTGGGAAGAAGATCAGCCATTATCTGCTTTGTGCAATTTAAGCTGTTTCAGACAAGTAGGGAGCTCCACTGTTTCCAGGGCTGTTTTATACATTTTAAAGGCTTTTGATCCTTGTTAGACTTCTTTTATTAGGACATTAAAGAAATTTAATGAAATTTGCAAACTCTATATTGGGTCTTTAAGATAGAAAATTATCAAAAAAACTTGCGGAAAAGTTTCACCAGATACAAAATCGTAGGTAGTCAGATATAAGTTCTGCCTTCTCAACATATGGGGATGTGCCAAGCGTTTACAGCCGGGTTGCTAACTAGTTTGCTAATGATGATTTTACTGATTTATTGTTGTTGCTTTCTATAATTTTGCATATAAGTTAATGCTGCTGCAAGAACAGGAAGGTCTTTTAAAACCGCTTCAACAGAGATGCCAATAAGCTTATATTTAAAATCCCTTTCATTAAGATTTTTCAACAAAACAAATATTGTTAAGCTTACATTTATAGATATTATTTTGAAAGAGAAAAGAAAGCAATTATAGAAAAAAACAAGATCAAAGAAGACAGATGCTTATTGGACTGAGAACCAGACATTTGCAACATCTTACTGTTTTCTTTCTCCCTGAAGCAAAACACCTTTGCTCACGCTTCAGGCCTTAAAGAGGCATGCAATAAGCAGCTGTCAATTCAGTTTGGGACTATTGAGTGCCAGTGGGGAAGGAGTGAATAGTGGCTGATGAGAAAAATAAGATTTAGCAAATCCATTTGGCCCTCTGCAGGTAGGATTCTGTTTTTCAAACAGATCATGATAAAAAAGTGTATTTTTTTAGACCATAGAACCAGACTGACTTTTATCAAACAATAAGAGACAAACTAAATAAAAACAGGCCTATATGATTATTCTTACTGCACAGGTCATCTTCTTTTAATGATTTACTTTCTATATTTCTCTTTTTTCCCTGCTTGTGTAAAGTATTTTGACAAAAGCAGTAAAATGGCTTATAGAAGCAGCCATTCAAAATGGCCTTTCCCAAATAAATGCCAGTCGAATGGCAGCCCAACTCCCTGCAACACCCAGCAGAATCCCCTCCAACTTCCATCCACTGGACTGATCTGTTCCTTCTCCTGGGCGTGCATATTCTTTACTCTGACCACACCCTTTAACTTAATTACAGGGTCTGAGCAAGAGAAGACGCTTCTCTTTAGATCTTAATGTCCACAAATCATGACAGAATATTTTAGTACAAATATTGATATTTAAAAAAGGAATCTTAGGGGACCAGCCAAGGACCCATTAAGGAAAGTGGGGACATTTTGAATAGCTACTACTGTATGGGTGCTTATTATCACCACTATGATGCATTGGAGCTGCTCTGTGAAACAGGGGAGGCTCCACAGACAATCTCACCTGGACTGTAAACACCACCTTACTGGTCAAAGGGGCACAACAATGCTTGTATTTCTTGAAGGGGATTACATTTGATCACTGCTGTGCTTTAAGGAATGGGAATTTTCTGGAAGCTGCACAAAACAAAATTTCATTTTATATACACGTCTGTCTATCCAAAATGACAATAAAAACAGTCTAAGTCTCAATGATGCTGATCAATTCCAAACATCACGTAATGCATTGCCATTTTGAAACACATAAAATACATCATAGGTGTTCTGAAAGGCTATGAAGTAATGAAGTCCACAAACCTTGGCAAGAGTTCAGCGCAAGATGACTGTTCTAAATGAATGATCACTTTTCCTTCCTCCTCGCTGTCTGGCCACTGTAGTCAACCATCGTTAAATATGTTGGCCAATCAGCATCGAGCAGCTAGCTTCATGATCCGCCCCTGCTCCATAGACCTCCAAAAGAGTTTTAGCCTCACTGGAAGAGATGTATTTTGGTGTATTATCCAATCAGGGCTCTAACTTCTCGCTCCTTACCTCAATAGTCAGAGTTTCAAACATAAACGGGGATGTTTCTCATAGAGGCTGACAGGTAGCGTCCTGCTATTCCAGAAAAGGAGTGAAGATCGCATCCACACGTGGGATCAAGCAGGTTATTTATTTACAACATACACATGAAAATATGGGCATTTTGACAAATATTTAATGTTGTTTAATTAATACATTTATGAAGTTTGACAATGCATTTTTTTACCGATAATTTTTTCGAAATGTACAGGGTACGTTTAGCCTCCCTCGTATTAGATGAGAAATCCCCACTGCTATGATGCTATGCAATGTTGTCAGAGAGTTAGTGGGCCTGGATTGATTTGCACATAGAAATCTAATAAATTCTATAGCTAGTCAAAAAGCTCAATAGCAATGCTATCTATGAATGTTAACCTAGAAAGTCAAAAAGGTTCCATAAACCCCAACCTGAAACTTCAATATGGCTGTGGCCTGCATGATATATTGTGGAAGTGACAGAATGAACAGCTTGTTTTCCCTTCCCAAGGTTGTGAGCACTTAAAGCAGTCGCACAATCATTATACTTTTCCTTGTTTGGTTCAAGACATTTCGGCCTTTAGAACAAGCAATGTTTATATTGCTTTTCACCTTAAACACAGTATATAAAATAGAAGAAAGCTCCTTCTACTAATACAACCTAAAGCCCATTCAAGTAACAACAATGGTAATCTTTTGTTTTGCATTCCTTCAGGAATGTTACATTGATCTGTGCTTTCCCTGAGTCCACTACAGGGGTTTTATTTACACTTGTATCGCAGTACAGACCTGTAAGAGAAAGCCTTCAGACATTTTCAAAGCGTGCACAGACAATAGATCACTGACTATGGAGTTTGTTTTGTCTAATTACATTTTCAACTCCATTTTAACTAAAGTCTGATGGTTATTTTTAAAGGAAACAACACTTTTTTGTTAAAAGGGCCTTTTTTTCTGCTTTTAACAGTCTTATAATCCTATTCTTTAATGAAAACCATGCTTAAAGTGATGTTTTGCTTGATTTATATATGCTTGAGCAATCGTCCTAAATTGTCCTCTCTGAGCAGCAGCTTCTTGCTTTCCTCTGAAACACATGGTTATGATGGTCAACCAAGAGCTCTCATTGCCCGCCCCCTTCACGAGTTGCCCATATGTTGACCCCGCCAGCCAAGTAAGCATTACACCCACTGTCTCTGATTGGTGAGTAGTAATGTGAGGCAGAGCATGGTAATTTCTCCTTAAAGTTTACATGAAAAGGCTTTTTTACCATGTGGTCTATGCAGTGACAGCAACTGTAGATTTATCATCTAATGTTTAAATCCAAAGAAAGTGGTTTTCACCTGCAAGAAGTCTCATGTATGAAATGTGCGTGACCAACATAGGATGAGGGAAATGTCGCAGTGAAGGCTATATCACTGAAATGCATAATACTGTTTAAGAATTTGTAGTTAAGGATGTCTTAAAACATACAACTTACCTTTTCTCTTAACGTCTTTTATAAAGGCTAAATGTAGTTGGGAGAGCTAATGTTCTAACCATTCTAGCGGTAATAATCTATTAAAAGTCAGTCTAAATGATGCAGCACTCAATACCAACTGTCTGCTAAAGTATTAAATAGCAGAGAAGTTTTAATGGAATGGCTCCCCAATTAGTACAGTGCAACATTTATTGGGCAATTTCCACTATCCACTATTGATGTTTGGGGTTAGTCTTCAGGTAAATGCATTGCTAGTCTCTTAATCTGCACAAAAATGCAATTTGTAGATCAGGATCCTGGTCTGCATGGGTCTCACATTTTATTTGTGTAATGCATATGTGAAGTATGACTTATGTGAAATGATTGGGGACATTCCGAGAAGTAACTAAGCTAGAATGATAAAACAAGAACTGTGTGATTGAGAGAAATGGAGCTCTGCCACGCAATGCACAATAACAATATATCAGCCATCAGCAGCAGGTTTGTTACTGCTAAGGGGATTAATGAGTAAAATGGTGAGAAATGTTTCGTCTCATGTCTATGCCTGTTCTAGACATCAACATGCCAACATACTGATGACCTGACTTAGCTACTGGGAGATTTACAAATAGCCCGCATATAGGTTTAAAACACAAGCAGCAGCGTATTGGACGTACATGCGCATGTGACATCCACTGGCTTTTACGTTTTGATACCTATAAAAGTCTGAGATACACACCTTGAATACCACTGGAAAAGAGAAAGAAAAAAAAAAAAGGTCTAACCTTTTCGCTGTGTTCAAGCTTGTCCTGCTATCCTTGGATGGGTTGACCTCCAGATATTTGCTTTCTTGGGTTTTCCAGTCACTGTGGGAACCTGAAAATAAGAACGCAGGTGGTAAACAAACTAAACTCTTTCTGTCATTAATATTTGTCCAAGTTAACTTAGAGTTTTCTTTTTTTTTACTTCATTAGGCAGAACAGTGTAAATGAAACCACCGTCCAATGCTGTAACTCTGCCAATATCTCATAACTGTAATCAAGCTTATCCCTTTTCATTTTTAATTATACTTCAGGATGATTAATGAGGCTCACTGCCTTTACATAGATTTTTAATATAATACCCTCTGGTATATTACCAGAACTCTACGTTAGGCTTTTTCAATAGCTGTTTTCAAAGTTTATAACCACCTTTGAGGGTGGGACAGGGGTAAGCTGACAGCAGATTGTTGGAAATGAAAGTTAATACATTGTAGAGAAGGCAGGATTTATACCATACGTTGTAATTATATGGTAATAAGCTATATTCTTGAGGCTTGTGATTTTTTTTCAAATTTTTGTTTTAATTTTGGAGATCAGTGGAGTAGAACCCTTTACATTTTTTTAAATTCTTCCTACTCCATTTGAGTAGTTGTGCTATGTTTGGTATTTAAGTTTGTTGTCATAAACGGGAACAGATGGACCCTGTATTCAAGGTATCCCAGTTTATGACATTTGTATATGTGTATATTTTCCTTTTTTGTTTTATTTTATTATTTGCTAAACTAAATGAAATGAAAAGGCAACAAAAAAAATTTAAGCAGGACTTTCACCATAGGTTCATTTTGATCTTTACTAATTATTATGTCTCTAAATGTCATTTTGTGACATCATCTTAAATGTATTTAATTTTATGCTTTGGATGTGACCCTAAAAAGACAGATTTTATATTTGAGCATGACTTAATATTAATGTGTCAAAGGATTGTTCAAACAATGACATTGTATCAGTTAATTAAGCTGTGATTAAAAGAAATGGCTATAATGTGCTATAATATTTAATTAATTAATTACCACAGCTCCGAAAATGGTTCATCTACCACGAAAAAAGATCTTAAATTTGTTGTTGATTTTCCTGGTCTTTTCTGGGGTCTTTGAGTCTCAGTCCTATTAAGTCTGATGTAATTATTCTTTTGAGTCATAGTGGGATCAATATTTGAATGTAGCATTGTTCAATCTATGTTAATGGCTTCACATGTTGGTCAGGAACTGGTGCTGTTCAGTTTTGTTTTTGGGTTAATGTTTGTTTTAAAGTGTGACCCACAGGTTTCCACATTTCATTCAGGCCCGTTTCTCTTTCGTTTCTGGAGAAAGACATTTAGAAAAAGCCCCATCTTGTAACCCTTCTCCTTTGTTCATAAATGTGAAGAACCTGTGAGTCTATTGATGCACATAAAACTGCATCTCGATCGTCTTTGATGTTAGTGACAGCCACTCTGACTAGTTTTGTCTTGTCAGATTTAGACAAATGTTCAGCTATCTTTTTGTTTCATATTGTCTCCAGTTATTGATGACCACCCTCACTGTGCCTTGGCATATCTAATAGTTTAAAAGTATCTTTACTCGTCTCCTATATAAAGAGTTTGTTTTAATCTTTTTTTTCCCTCCACAGGCTAAGCTTCAGTTAAAAATTTATATGAGCAAATGGCATAAAATATTTTAAGTTTCTCAGACTGATGGTTCAAACTGTGTAGAGTGTAGAGTTCAAACTGAGTGCAGAAATTTCTGCAAAAGTTGCTTTTCAAAGATTTGGGCTTAAAGTTTTTTTTATTTAGTCCTATTTTAACAGCTTGGATTTTTCTACCTCTGCTGGATTTCATTTTCTTGTTACTGTTTAATTGTAGTAGATACAGTATGCTACAATACAGGTGGCAATTAAATATAATGTTGTGGTCTCATCAGTTTCATTAAAATCACTTGCTTTGAAAAACCTATTTGTTTTTTTTGAGTATAATTATTTCTTTTCAGTTTCTTTTATGTGTCTAAAGAATCACTGTAACCAGATCTGTTGTAGTTAGATTCAGTCAGTGGGAGAGCTATCTAAGACTAACAAGGGTCTAGCTTTTCTTCCCACCAAGGTCAACCGGAATGAGTTCACCCACTTCCAGGGGTCAAACTCATCCACTGCTGCTTCTGTGCAACAGCATGAGCCACGCAACAGTATGCCTCAAGCATACGTGCCAATAAGAATGGATTCGTACTTGAACGTAGCCCTCTGAGCGCTCTCATGAGCACATGTTTGCATATCTTTGTTGGCACGTCCTGCAGCAATGTTTCCCTTTTTGTCCACTCGCATGCACATCACGGATAAAAAAAAAAGTCTCATTGAATATTAAATAGGCGTATCAGTGTAATTATGACAGAGACTCGGAGAAAGGTTCTAATTTACAGACTCCCACCAGAGACTCAAAAAGGACTCCATAAGGGCCCTTTTCCACTGACTCTTTTCACACACCCTTCCCTGCTCTTCAAAGAGTGGTGAGCAGCAAAGTCACCCTTCTTCTTCGATCTCTTCAAGGCTGTCAGCTTCAAAATGACATTTAACACTGGCTGTTTATTTACAGTAAAATTGGTTCAGTAAGGAATCCAGAGTGTGGAGCAATATGGCGGAGCAATGTTTAAATTACTTTGTCGCCCCGCTGTTAGATGTCAAACGGCGCCACAGCTTTGGCACAAGATGCGTCTATGAATATGCAGCTTGCACAGATGCAGATGTGTGTATCTGTGGGAAAGAGGGGGAATGTTTTGCCCAAATTAACCCATTCTCTTTGCTAGAAAGCAGCTCATTCTACAGAGTGGTGCAGAGCTGAAAATAGACGCTCAGTGGCCTGCTGAATAAAAGATGACAGGACAACGTGGCAATGCGCTCACCATACCCTTCACAGATGCATGCGTGCATATGTTGTATACACTGCGGGCTCTTTGCATGTCTGAGTGCAACTGCATTCTGGCTCTGCAGTTTTCATTTTGCTTTCCCACATATATACAAATAATGTAATTATATACTAAAACCTGAACAGGATGTCAGCGAGAGCCCCTTTTATCCACTTTAGCACACATGAGCAATTCCTTTTCATCAGCACCTGACCAATCAGGCGTAGCGTTGAAAGAGGATTTGATGAAAAAAGGTATTATGTTGTCCCCTTTTTTAACCCATTTAAAATAAAAGCCCCCTACCAAAACAGGAAACCAAGCTAATTGTTGGTTTTCTGGAAGTGTGAGGAGGATGTGACAAAATCTTCATCCCTTTCTCTTTACACAAGTCAACCTTTAGAATCTACAGCACCACCAAGTTAAAAAGCGGTGCGAGGAAGCGCCGGCTGTTTACCATTTGGCTAATCTGTATGCTCTCCAATATAAAAGTTTAAATCCTCCGTTCCTTCTGCGTGCTATGAAAAACAAAGGCTTCACCTAATAACATATCCGAGCCATAGTTCACACAGCACTTTGATTTTGCTTTTGCTCCCTGAGCACGAAGTAGCTGGCTATACTGGGGATTGCTAAGGAGGGTTGAAGGAGATTGGAGTCAGGGGACAGAAAGAGCGAATGTGTTGGTTTATTGATCACGATCTAAGGTAATTATGTTAATGTTTGAATGCAAACAATATGTGCATACATGCATGTTGTTAAGGCATATATTATTTAGGAGCAAGTATTTTTTTTTTATTTGATTGCTGTTTTACTCATAAGAAGCAAAATTACTACAGTTTTACTATCTTTAGAGTTTTTGACTTTTACGTCTGAATAGTAACATAACTTAGGCCCCGTCCACACGAAGTCAAAACGAACACGAAATGCTAATATTTTCCAGAACGTTTGTCGTAAAGACGGAGACGTAAAATAAATGTGATCGTCCACACGAATGCATGAAAACGCTGCAAAATGTATGCCAGGCCTGTAAGTGGCGCTGTGGTGCCAAAGCAAAAATAGGCGACGAAATGTTGGGCATGCGCACTAATATTTATACATGGTTGCCCTGCGGGTCCATTTTCGTGGTTCAGTCAAATTCAGGTGCTGAACTATGTCGTCGATATTGCTCTGTTCTTCCTGGAGATATTCCAGAAGAAGAAGATTCTGTTGTAAGCCCGACAGCAGGGTGAGTAGCATGAGCAGCAACCATTCAACACAGTACGGCGCCATTGTTGTTGTGATACTGTGTCGTGCATGCGTGTTTAGAGGCGACGCTATGACGCATGCGTGTAAAAAAAAAAATGCGGTTAGAGCTTAAAGATGGAAACGCGAAAACAGCGTTTCAAAATCTTCCCACTCAGAAGGCTGAATAAAAAAAAGATCGTTTACAGACCCCCGAAACGCCGGCTTCGTATGGAAAAGAGGCTGGTTTGGTGAAAAATTTGTGCGTTTAGGCCAGGGTTCGGCTTCGTGTGGACGGGGCCTTAGAATACCCTGCATAAAAGTTTGACCAATAGAGACCCATAGAAGGTTTGTTTTTAAAAACGTAGTTTAAAAAAAAATCCTTTTGAATTGAACTTTTTTAATTAATTTAGTTTGCAAAGTTTAGTTGCCTATTTAAACTGTTTTTAATCTTACGCGACATGACACTCTATGCTACATGAATATAATAAACTTTGGTAGAAAGTCATGTTTTTTATGTGCTCATGTTGTGCTTTAACTGTTTTCTTCTAAAGCAATAGATGGAGAAAAGCAACTTCATCACCATTAATCTTCAATTTGTACTGACAGAGAAAAACATAATACCGAGAACTCAGTCCTAGTGATTTCCACATTTATGCGCATTGAGAACCAATTCTAACATAAAGGAGCAGACGTATGGGTGCAAACTAGTGCCATCAGAAACTGAATTTAAATTACCTTTGCTAAATCTGTAATCATATCAAATAAATCCATTAGTTTGAACAAAAAAATGAATACATTCAAACAGATTTAAGATATATATTTTGCACTGTTAAAAATTCCGACTGCCTTTGTTTTTTACTTTCACTTTTATAGTGCAAATTTAGTTCAAAAATTATATTTCTTTGTGTCAGAGATCTTGGTCCTTAAGCCAGAGAGCAATCACACACAGATTTACTTAGTTTAA